TGTGGCCTGCCTTGCCAGTGCTGGTAGGGGTGGGAGTTTTGTTTTGCTCCTCTGGTAGTTCTTTGATTAGCATATGTTTATCTGTTTTCATGTTTCCCAAATAAAGGACACAATGATTTCATTCCACTTATCTCCTCACCAAACACAGTGCTATGTTTCCAGCTCTCTCACCCACTTTATCGTAGCCAAATAGTTTATTCCAAATACCATGGGGATACCTACCCTTCCTGGAGCCACCAGATTGTCCATAATGATCAAGTCTTTTTTCAGTTCATGCAGTTTCTGGAAGTTTTCCATTTTTAGCATACTGCTATGAAGTTGGGCCACCATCTCTGAAATTTCTGCCAGAGCAGCTGTGCGAAGGGGAAAAATAACAAAACAAAGAAATATTGCTATTAACTAGTGCCACTCTATTAGATGTCTGAAGAGCAATAGATAAAACATTCAATGTTTATAATTTTGTTAACTTTAAAATAGAATCTATAGCTACAAGACTTCCAGTTTAAGTTAAACCTGCCCCTTTAAAATAGAACTGAATTTCACTTGGAGATGATGGGTTTCCTCCTCCATGTTATTCTGGATGGTTGCTAGTGAACTAGTATAAATTATGTGACAGACTGAACTGATTCAGCCCCTGAAAGAATGTAATTTTTTCCCAAAATCTCATGTATAGCCTGAACTTAAGGAACCTATTTAAGCACTATGATCAGAGCATCTTTGCCCCTATGAAGCAAAGCATGATCTGACTGTATTTAAGAACAAATTACTAGACATATTTTCCCACCTTTCTGCATTTTTCAAGATTATTCAAATCATGCACACATACCTAAAAGCAAACCTATCTTTGGTGTAGATATCTAGAGCTTTCTTCTATATTCCTTCGTTATCTCCTCACTCTGCCTGCTTGTTGACTGTGAGATTGCTAAACTCAAGGTGCTCCCTTCCTGCCTCTCTCTTCCTAGCACACGTCCTGTCTGACTCTCTGCTTTGCCCATCCTTCTACCCCATGGGTGGCTGCTGTTGTTGTTATTATTTTATTAAATTTATAATGCTGTCAAACTGAAAAGACTCAAGACTTACAACTAAAAACTCAATAGAAATAATAAAGCAAATACAGAAAATAAACTATGTTGTGGGGAAGCCTAGTTCAATTCCCTGTAATAAACCTTCTTTCTGTTAAAGATAAAAGGTACTAATTGTGGCTCAAGTTGGATTCCTCCTCTCCGCGAACACACTCAGGTCACTTCCTCCAACATTTAAAATTTAGAGAATTGCTACAGGGAGAGTCCCCTGCATTTACCTCTGGAGTCCCTGAAATCCACATGATTTGGTGGATAATGTTTGCAGAGCCTTTCCATTATCTGCTTGTAGTGCATAAGCCTGTGCAGTGGCCTGAGAAGGAAGATATTGAGGGGAAGGTAACAGACTTTCTGCATCTCAAAATCTCTGCATAAGGCTTCCAGCCTGCGAGAGTTCTTGATCCCATTTTCCAGCTCTAGCAGAATTTCACTATGCTTTCGCAAATGAACAGTTAGTTGCTAGAGGAGAGAGAGAAAGGAGGATAAGTCCACATGGGAAAGAATTCTTTATTTAAATTTATTTTCCCATAATATCTGCTCTGATGTAACTTTTGGTAAAATAAAAATAAAACAATCAAAGCCACCTTGCAACATAAGACAATGAATCACACAGAAGAGATGACAATAACTTCCAAGGTAGCTCAGCAAGTATTAGAAGTCTGAGAAACTAAGAAGAGTTTTGTCTATTGTTGAAGCAAGATGAGATAAAATGCTAAGTAAGCCTTCTGAGGGGAGGATTCTAGAAGTGGCAGTCCACAACTGAGAAGAATCTGTCTTTGGTTGCCCTTTCACTGTAACTAAGAAGTGGGGCCCCTGAAGGGGAGCTACCAATTATGGTTGGGATCCTGGCAAAGTCTAGTTGTAAGATGTGAAAAGAGTGGGACCATGTTGCTTTTCTAACAAAGAGTTCCTTGGATACGCACAAGGGCTACCAACTCAGAAAAAGGATCTAGATGCAGAATCTTTTATCAAACTTCTCCCTAGGCTGGGTTCTCAACATATAATTGGAATCCAAATCCCATCAGCCCCAGACAATGTAATCAATGGTCATGGATTGATTACATTATAATCTAACCATATTAGGAGAGCCACCATTTCTCTACTCTTACCCTACGAGTCTTCCTTCTTCATGCACTCTTGAAGTCTGAGTGCTTTAAAAGTCTGGTGGCCACCACAAAGAACATAATCACTCCCGGGGCAGCTTCTTTCCAGTGCAATGCTCCATTCCCACAAGCCATAATACAATTTGATTGAGTTTGGCTCTATTTTCTGTGTGAACATGGCCACTATGTGTTTATTCACCCGATCAGGATTCAAACAAACTACGGCTTAATGCAATATGTGAACCCAGCTACTATAGGATGGCTGAGCACAGCTAAAAGAAGGAAGGCCTTGGAGTGATGATGTGTAGGAAAAAAGCACTCTATGTTTACATTGGATCATAATCAGGCTGGAATGTAGCAGAATTGAAGAACTGCTTTCATACAGACAGATTTGTTATCTCTTCTGACCAAATGTTCAGAAATGCATTGACTTGTTTTAATTTCAGTGAGCAAACAGAGCAGAAGTTTATGCATGGTTATCATTCCAAGAAAGAGCTAGCATGGAATCACATCTAATTCATACCTTCATACTCTGAATATTCTTGAGCATAACATCTCCAATTTTTTGGTAATCTCCTTTCAAGTGGGCATTAGAGCGGCCTTCCCTGCCAGAAACAGAATTATCCATGTCAGTCAAGCCTTATAATACCATTTATGTATGTGCGTCCAGACATTTTCAAATTTTCTTAAAGAAGTGACAGCACTTAAACATGCATTATTTAATTAATGTTCATTTTAAGAAGATCAAAGCAGTCAAACATCTCGTGTTTAGGGTTTGTAATTACATTCCAAAATGCACTGGCAATGAATATTCGTAAACCTGGGTGAGCAGAGAGGAAAGCAAACTTTCACCGATAGAAGTCTGTCTAGACAATCCAAACATCTGCACAAAAAGACATTAATTTGGGGTGAATGCTTCACTTTAATGAAACCCAAGTTACTGGCCTGGGATTGGACTCAGTTCCGCTTGTAAACATCTGAGGGAGCAACGTCTCCACTGCTTGAGAAATGTCTTCCCTTGGACAGAGATTTTGCTTCTGCCATATTCTTTAGAGACTTTCAGGTAGAACATACACTTTTTCAGTCATTTTGACTGCTTCTTAAAGGAAAACAAAGATTCCCTGAAAGTTGATTGCCCTCACTTATGGCCCTACCGTTCTTTTTCCCAGGTATATATTGTACAACGTAAAATGAGACAGATTTTCATGGGTAATACTTAAGGGACAAACTAACATACATATTCTAGAATAATAATTATTTACTGTGACTGTCTGATCCTCCTCTACAGTAGTTCCTCTCACAGCTCTTGGCTTCAGTGGAAAATTGCTGATTCAGAAATTGGGGCTTGGTTGTGTTATGTTTTTAAATTCTTATTCTCATATGCTGCCCAGATATTTGCAGGCATTCGTTTTAACCAAAGTGTAAGTTATCTCCTCAAGCAGCATTTGCTTGCAAATATGCTCTTATATGGATAATGAGGCAGGAAACGGCAATAAACTTTCTTGACTTAACTTATATTAGACAGTGTAACTATATTCAGTTATGCTTTCAGGGCCAAGTAAGGCCTTGATAAGAACCTGGGGACATAGGTGCCTGGGAGTGGGAGTAGGGGGGGCAGAAGACAACACACATGTGATGACGTCACCACACAAATGTTGCAACAAAAACAATGTATTTGTATCAGACATTGTGATGCAAATACATCTGAGATGGTTGCATGATTACAAGTGTGGTCATTTTGACATCATCGCAGTTTTTTAGGGATGTCACTAGGCCCATTCTCATGGGCCTAGGCACTCCCTCCTCTACCTCTATCAGCTGCTTGCCCTATACTCTTGCCCTGGAACATACTCTCCTGTTGCTCTTTGCTTCTCTTTCGGGGAGCAAAGTCCCCAGAAGCTTGCAGGAAAATGTGGTTGTATCAGAAAGCCAAGTGACAGTCCCCCCTGGAATCCTGATATTCCCAGGGTGCCTCTGAATAAAAAAAATGTGGAATCCAACTACATTTAGAGGTTTTCTGGGCTGCAGAATCAGTTTCATAGAACATGATCAAATGAAGTCTGTGAAAATGATTTCTTGTTCAAAAGCTTCAGTAGTACAATTGTTTTTATTAACAATCTTCTCTCTGAAAATAATACATTTTTTTGCATGTCAAAGACCACACTTAAATCCAATCTTTATGACTCCATAATTGAGGAACAAAACTTGGATATCCCTAGTACAGTACCATTGCCAAGGCTTTTTATTAACTTCTGCCAAAAAACATCCTACTTAGAGAATAACAAGAAATGGCTCTATACAGAAACAGTAAACTTGGACAGAGCCAATTTTTAATATATTCTTGGCTAAAAGACTACCAAGCATAGAAGATCAATAAAAATAATCTTATAGAAGCAAGAAAAGACACTATTGTAGCTCAATTTCCTTGTTATCCTTATGAAATAACCTAAGTCTTGTTATGAGCATATCACTCTTTATATTCACAATAAGATCTGCATGTTTTGGGACTAGGAGTAGTTTATTGCATGTAACAGTTGGGCTCTTTTGAAACTAAGAAAAACTGCTTTACTACTGTAATTCTACTTCCCAAATACTGTCATCTAGATCTTTAATGCTAATGGGATTATACTGGGAGAGTAGCAGAATACAAATACTTTGTTAATGTTTTTGCAAATATGAACTATCCTTAGCCTGACTCCCCTGAAATCAGTAAATAGGCTAACTTGCTTTCAACATTCAGAATAGTCAAATTTTGGGTGAATAAAACTGAACAGTTGGAGGAACATGTGATAATATTTACTCAACTGCATATTGGAATATAGAAATTCTTGACTCTATTGTGAATGGGCTGCAGGCAAGGCATTGAAGCCTGTTCTGTTTCCATTCAAGGTTGCAACTAAATATATTAGCTCATTAAGAAAAAAAGGAGATTTAAACATAATCCCATAAAAGTATAAAATATCCCAAATTTTATAAAATATGAGATTGTAGAGAGCCAATGCAGTGTACAGGTAGTATAGTACAGTCCTCGTTTAACAACCATTCAGTTACAACGGTAATAAAAAATTAACTTTACAACCAATCCTCACATTTACAACCTTCACAAGTCTGTAAAGCAAAGGAAGGCTGAAGTAAGATCATAAGCACAGTCGCAGTTTCACTTAGCGACCGCTTCATTTAATGACCGAGTTGCCAGTCTCAAGTTTCCAGTCCCTTATTTTCTCTTTCAATTGGAATGTTTTATTTTATTGTTTCCTAACCCAGAATCCTTCAGGATTGGGGCAGGAAATGCTGAAAAACAAACATAGAAGTGTGCGTTAGGATAGGGGGGTTCTGCAAAGAAATGGGGCAATATATTTTCTCCCTTATAATTCTCCTTCCCACAGACCTTGTGCTATATCATACAATCATCTAGGTATCACTTTTTGTTCTGTTTAGCAATAGGCTGATTTTTTTTCTAATTCACATTTTAATTCACATTTTTATGTGAATTCTGTACTTCTATAATTTTACCAGTTGAACCAATAATTGAATTAGTCTCAAAATTTTGTAAGGCAATAACACCAGTCAAAAATGTTTATCTATAAAAAAGCAAAGATTGGGGGAAACTGAACAAACCTACTCACATTGATGAAATAATCTGACAAGTGCATTAGATTCAAGAATTTACTTGCCCAAAATATGTATATTTAGAAAAATGTACATGCAAACATGTGAATTCTCTATTTAAAGCTGATCTTTAAGGGGCCAGAAAGATGGCGTCGAGGTAGCATCTATTGTTAAGAGCTCCCTCTAAAGCCAATTTTTAATGTTTAATTAGCTCTTTTGCTTTTCTTTAATTTTCATTTCATTTTCATTCTTGTTCTGCTGGAGTTTTGGATATACTGTGAGATCAAAGCAAAGAACACCCTTAAGATCTGTATTTTTACTATTTTTACAATGGGGAAAAGGAAGAAAGTCTTGCTTCCAAGACTTCACTCAAGCCTACCAAACAGCTCAAAGTTGTCAAATACCTAAAAAGCAAACAGCTACTTGCTGCAAATAACCAACCCCCCTTCCTCTTCCTGGTAGCCTCTCTAATAAATATGACCCCCTTGAGTGGGATCTACAAGCAAAGAGCTCCCAACTTTTAGATCTTTCCGCTTCTATCTCTGACGAAGCTCCTCCCTCGCAGACCAGCCATTTAGCTAGCTACTGCAAGGCTTATACAACAAGGAGATGAGGACCTAAAAAATGAAAATGTTACTGATTTTATAACCAGACAATGCCAACTGACAGCATTGTCAATTTTTGAGCTTCTAACTACAGTTAACAACAAAGTGGATACTCTAAAAAAGACCTTTATTAAGCTGACACAGAGTCATCCAAGTTCTATTGCTGAGACAGTCAAAATGAGCACATCCAGTGACAATGGTATCTCAAAAGCAATTAGTAGTGATGGAAAGGTGGATCCTACTTTGGAACCTAAAAAGGGAGTCAGGAATAAATTAAGAGATTTAAACCTACATCTAGAGGAGCGTGCGCGGCAAGCACCACTCTCCCAGGAAGTATTGGACAGAAGTCCAATAAATCATAACTGTCCCTTACAGGTCACTCCACAAATCCAAAACAACAGAATGAATAGAGAGAAATGGGGATCCAGAAGGGCAGCCATTCTCTCCCTCAGTCAGCTTCTACGCTGTGAAAGGCAACTGACTGATTTGCAGAAGGTTGAAGGGCTTCCATCCAGGAGAGCCTCCTAACGTTTAAACATTCTACTATTGCCAGCATGTTGTTTAAAATGAAGCCTTTTCTGAGCAAGTTTGAGGTCTTCCCATTATGTGTGTTTCACACAGAGGGAGTTAGCTCATCAATAACTCATCTTGGCAATAAGAGTGCCATTACCTTAAAGTTAAATTGTAGCAGCACAAAAGTAGGTAACTTCAAGGACGTTCTATCCCCACTGTCCTTGAAAAGATGCAGTTTGAGCAAACAATCTGTATCTCCTACAGCAAATCAGTCAAGTGGGTATTATAAAAAGACTAGACAATCTAAGGAATTACTAGCAATAACACATAGAGTTGCTAAACTTTTAATAGAGCTGGTCACCCCAACTGCCCGAGAAAATAGTACCTATCTTGAGAAACCATCTGCTGGTTCACCTCCTATTTTAATTAATTAATTAATTAATTA